TATATATATATACATATATACATATATATAAATGTATATATATTACATTTATATTAACATATATATATATATATATGTGTATGTATATATACATATATACATATGTCTATACACGTTAATTTGTTTAACATTTCCTTTTTTTTTGTAATAATCTATAATGTATCTTTTTTTTGTATAATATATATGTGTATATATGTATATATATATATATATATATATATATATATATACACATATACATATACATATCCATATACACACACATATGTGTGTGTGGTGTGTGTGTGTGTGTGTGTGTGTGTATATCTGCATAATATATTATTATAATAATTATTCCCGTTATGCAATATTTATAAATATACAAGTCATTGTTTAAAGAACGGTGGGCCAACACCTCCCAGTTATGAATTATATGCGTGTGTGTATATACATACATACATACACACATACACAAATATATATATATATATATATATATATATATATACACATCATACATACATACATACTCATGTACAGTTATATATTTCAATTAACGCTATATAGCTAATATTTCAATAATCATTTTAACTAAACCCATTATTGATCACCTAGCTCGTATCACCCCTTCCTATATTTTACCTACTCCCGCAGAAAGAATGATTATAAAAACCTCGTAGCAGATATCTTGTCCTTCGATTAAATTCGATTGCGGAAACGCAATAGGTTTGTCTGAAAATTTTTTTAACCGATCCTAATACATCCAATGACCTATTAGCTTCTCCGTGAGAAAGCTTCAAGATTCATTAAAATTTCCCATTTGACTCGCATTTCGTCATAGACGGAGATTTTCCAGCGTTCCTTTACAAACACCTCTTCTACCACACAGAACCCAAAAATATGTGATGTAATAATCAAGGCTAATAATCCAGATTTTCTAAGATATTAATTAAAACGGTTCTCGTATCAACGACTATAATCAAATAATCAATATTTCTGATAAATCAAAATTATTAAATCATTAAAATATACGAAATTGTATTAATAAAAAGTCTCGCGCGTAGCGAGGGGAAACAATCGAAGAAACGCTCATGCACAAATAAAAGACTTATGGAAGGGATTTTAAACGAACGAGCGTTCACGTCATTTCCAGAAAGCAAACGCTCACACTATACTTTCTCCCAAAAGGCACGTAATAATAAATTCCAATGACAAGTCCGATTAAATGAGACTAAAGTAAAATATACACATATACACACACATATATATAGAGATTTTAATCGTAGTCAACTGATGATCGCCTTAAAAGAGGAAATAATTAGACTAAAAGTTCTATATAAATAATGGAACAATTATGCAGATTATTATCTGTGAAAATGTTATCTAACAATGCGCAAAAAGTATTGCTTATCCTAGTAAACAAATGCTAGCGCGCGCAAATAGATTTCCATTTCTTAGAAATACATGTTAAAAAGTAACAACGTTTGATGTTAAAATCTATATATAACTTTATTTATATTAATCTAAGCGCTATGAAACTTAAATGAGGTTCGTTCTGAGATGAAGACTCAAACACTTTGGAATTAAGAATATAACTTGGCAATAAGGAATTACCCGTTATTTATTTAGCTGGACCAGCCAGCGGCACATTGTAAATATATAAATATATGTTTATATATATATAGAATAGCTCTCACTTTGGATATATATTAAACTTCCAGCCAAGGTATTTCTGTGTTATACGGGATGTTTCGAGAAAGAAATTTACGACTTTCTAAAATTTAGAGTCTTAGAAGCTCGTAACCCTTTCCTTGTAAAACATCCTATATACATATACACAGACACACACAGCACACACACGCATACATACACGCGCGCGTGTGTGCGTGCATGCGTGTATGTGTGTGTGTGTGTGTGTGCGCGCGCGTATATATATAAACTCTTTGGTTTTGCCAAGGTATTATGAAGTAAATAACGCATTTTGCAAAAACGAGAAAAATTAACGAGAAAAATTAGACGTTAGTCTAAGTATTTCCTATCTCGAAAGACAATGCAGAAAATGTTGATCATGGAATTTCCTCTCTCAACATTTCAGTTGACCAACCAATGATTGACTCAGATTTACAGTGCCGTTTTAATGTTGAGTTCTGTATGAGGTGAATCTATCCCGTAAAAACTTGGGGATGCGATTATCCAGACAAAAAGTCTGTCTGTTGAGAAGAAGCCGTATTTCCGGATGTCATGTAGTGGGTCGGTGTGGCGTAAACGTTTTGTGTGGCTAAAAGAGATGCCATAATCGTATATTCCGAATCCAATAACAATTACATAGTGGATTACCTCAACGGTAACACGCTATAGACAATAACAACTAGTTATTCGTGGCAACTCTGATGCGGTATGCGCGTGTCGTGTGTGATAAAGCCCCGTAATGTGGTGTATCACAGAATAATCGTAGTAGTTATATATCGTACAACATACATAATATTCATATATGTATATATATATATAGCATAATAATCTTAAAAGATATAGATCAATGTTGACGAGCCATGATGGATGTATGAACGTAAATGATGCGACAATGCAAGCGCTATAGTGACAACGCAGCGCGATAGATGACAACGGGTGGTAAAATTGGCGATGAGCGAGATATATATATATATATATATATATATATATATATATACTATATATTTCGCTTTTTTACATAATAAAATATAAACAGCGACGAAATATTGTATAATATGAACATAATACAAAATTCAAATTAATTTTCCCGCAAATTATGTCGGAGGCGATATCAGCTTATGCAATCATTATTTTCGACCGAGATTTTCGACGAGAATTATCTCATCGCTCGTTTCAGACGTACTAAAAGCTAAAAAAATACCAGGCAGAAACGCATACTGACCTTCTTTAATTTCCTTTCTTGTAAGATCCGC